TTTGAAATACTCTATTAATATATTTAAAAATTGATTTTGTTTGAATATCTACTTTAGGTACCTATGTACATATTTCATATTTTTTTTCTCAAATAAAATTAATAGTCTATTAAATCGAAAATTATCATTTCGAGTTTTAATAAGTCAGTGTAAATATATTACTGGATAGATATAGGTAAGTATGATTAAAAAAAAAAATAACAATACCATAGGCCAAAATCCAATAAAATTTCAATTGGGGCTAACATCAATGTGAGCGAGGTGCTTCAATTCCATACAATAAAAATGTAATATATTTTTTTTTTAAAGTGCAGAAAGAACTATATATTATAATATCGTGCAGATGAGTGTGACAAAAATACAAAATATGTTATGGGTAGGTACCGTCTGTTGTAGCTTACATGTTACAAGTCTTGAACAAGTACGTAGTTAGTAAGCTATTTATTCAAACAGTGAATAAAAACGGGTTATAATATTTAAAATTAACGAATTATTGAAATTTATAAAAAGGAACAAAAGTTTTTTTACACAGTAGATACAACATTAAATCATACTTTCAAGACAACAAGTATTTCTTTTTGTTCAAAAATCATCCGATGTATTTATTGTAAGTACCTTTATTCTCTGCTGGTTTCTTATTCTAAAACATAAGACACACAATTATTATTACAATTCTTATTATACATAATAAACGTTATCTACCCAGGGTTTTGAAGAAGTTGTTTTGCTATCAATTATATTAATGTTCGTTTAAACATATTGTTTGGTTTACAAATAATTTAAAATATGTTCACACTTTATAAAATATGATAGACTTAAGGAATCACCAATTAGGCGTATAGCAATCAAGAATAAATGCCTTTGCAATTAGAAACCACATACCCTATAAGTGTACAAGCGCCATTTAAATAGGTACTGCAATGTACTATAATCATAGGCGGAGCCAGACGTATTGTTTAGCGTACCTATGCAGTATCTAAATCAGCCCACCACAATTATGGGGTGGTAATCCCTAAAATCCCTATTTTCGGATATTTTATAGGTCACCGTAATTAGTTTCCATTGTTTTTTTTTTTATTATTTATAAATTGTAAGCTTATTATTTTATTATTAGCTAATTTATTATTCAAGCTTTTAAATCAAAATTTCAAATTTTCTTTGAAATTTAAATATGCCGAATGTTAGCGCAGTTGAATTCCTCCAGCAGTTAGTCATGACCCATGGATTAAATATATGGGAAGAAATGAAAATTGGAAATATTTTACAGGTATAGGTAAGTCTTAAGAAATAAGTAAATAGAGTAAAACTTTATCTGTGCAGCTTAAACTTTTTTATTTTTTCGATAACACATTTCGTTCTTTTTTATGGGTAGGTAAAAAGTCAATACTTTCAAAACGTATTAAAAACAAATTATTTGATTTATCAAAAAAATCGAAACACTTAAACATAGATATTATTCTCCTCTATTTTTCAATATAAATTAGGAGTATTTATACTCTATTCAAGTTAAGAGTGGCACTCAAAGAGCTAAGTTGAATAGAGTATAAATTATAAGTACTAAATGTACTTATTATATCATAATAGTCAATAGATAACGCTAACGCAACAACGAGTGGAACACGTGGTGGAACCGATAATAAAAACCATGGTGGAAAATGTTTTAAACGGTGAGCCAAGTTATACTTAAATATGACTTGAGTTATAATTTTAATGATCATTATTTTATAATAGAATTGAACACATAAAAATAAGAGATTCAGAGCACCAAAAAATAGTTATTTCGCTTATAAACACACAAATCAAAATTGTATGGTTTATTGGTTTTGTATTAGTTTTAATTTTAATATTAAAAAGACTTGTATTAAAATAAAACGGAGCTCCATATTTTCCATGAAATTTTTTTTCAGAAACGTTATTATCTGGACAGACGCCACAGACAAAATTGAAAATTACATAGATATGATTTTTATTATTTGGAATTAAATTATATAGAAAAAATACGGTTAGGAACTGGCTTTGTTTGGAAAATGTGTACATGGAAAATACTAACCTAACTTAAATTAAAGCAGCCTTCAGGGAGATTAGGGCGTGCAGCTGCATACCCCGCAAGCTCCGTTGCTTCGCCTATGACTATAATATCCTACATAAATAGTAGGATCCTACTATAGAAAATTCAAAATGCAAACAATCAAAATGCTAGACAAAATCTTCAAGACTTGAGTATTTAACATATTAGAACGTTATTGACAACTGTAGATAGAGATAAAATGTAACAATACTTTTTATTCAGGTTGTCCAATTCAGCTTTCAGTTTGACATTGGCCAACCGCAGGTTTTGTAGGGTCCGTATACATTTGAATAGTCTTTGGCTGTTAGATTCAATGACAGAGTTATCTTGGTTAAATTTAAATCTCCGAATCATAGACATCACTACTAATACGAATGCAAAAAATGCGAAGCTACGCATTAACCATTGCAACCTCATTATACCAAAAGTATACTGTGGTTTCTGTTGAAGTGAAAACGCACGAGGTGATCTGGTAACGCATAAAAAAGTTCCTTTTTTAAAATAAATAAATAAATAAGGATATTTAAAACATGTATAAAACAAAAAATGAATTAGTATCTAAATTTTGCGTGGGATTAGAATAAAAATGTGATGGCTAGAATCGAACAACCGAAGTATTGTGTATAATAATTGATTAAGGTTAGCAAACAAGATATTTATAAAATAAGCTTCTGTTCTTATGCTGGGTAAATTAAATATAGGTAACACTCGACCTTTACTTGAATACAAAGCTTACACACATAACCATTTAAATGTGTATAGGACATGTAATAGGTATTTACATCTTATTGCAAATCAATAATTTAATTTTTTTAAATAATATATTCATACGTAAGTAATACGTGCAACACTGCTAATGACGTTTATGTGTAGTGAAATATTCAAATATCGAATATTTGGACGTATGATATTAAACTTAATAAAATTAAATACTTACCAATTTTAAATTATCAAAATAATACGTGTACAGAGTATATTATATATATATATATATAGTAGTTCTTAAACTTATAAAAGAAATAAACTATCGTTAAGCAACTGCATTACAACATGTACCCGCCGCATATACATTTTGTGTAAATTACGCTCTATACGATTGTGCTGGCATGTTATTTAAAAAGCCTTTGGCTATAATATTAATTTATCACCAATTGGACGAAGGCATACGTGGTTCAGTATATAATTATTAACAATGCCGGAGCTGGTATTACGTGATTCTACGTATTATCAGATATATCATCCGCAAACAGTGCTGTATAATTATACCACCTACACTCGCTTGTTTATAATATGTATAAATATTGAGGGGGAACAATGACAGTTCCGTACAATAAAAATTCCATTACACGCGTAAACATGATTTGACAAAATTATATTTTATTTAGTCACCTTGTACATAAAGACGTAATCACCTACATACAGTATGTATCTGCACGATGATCCGCACAGTCAATTAGTGTAATTTAAAGATATAGATGTCATATCTTCCTGGTACACCTTGTATAATAATATTATGTATATATTTGTATACTACTCATGTGAATTTAGTAGAGGGACCCTAGGTACAATGTGCACACAATTTAATAATTTATATTTTAGATTGCGTATATACAGTGCGATTTGTTTGTTTTGTTGGTGTACCAACTACCGATATAATACAATTATAATGGATATTGTTATAATATTCGTGGTGCTGTTTATACACCATTAATTAATGCTGTGGTTAATACTAATAAACTATATACTGCGGTAGAATATGTTATAATCTAAAGAATTGATGGTAATACATGCGCGTAACCTAAATAATAATGGTGACTCGAAACACATAATAATATGTATATTGTAAACGCACTATCCTACGATTTTGGTAACCAACTGGCAATTACATAATAACGAGAACCGCGTGCAAGCTAATCGAAATTCAACAACCCCTCAAGTAACACACCCCCTCACCATACACACACACACACACACACATACACTAAAACACAGAGGTAGTCTTGTTATGAATTTGATACTGTCTAGTCCATCGAACGTTGGAAAATATGTTCTGGACCTACTGGTTTTACTTTAACATAAAATATCCCACATAAAATCAAGTACATATGTGTGAATATTTTTGTATTTCATAAGTCTGTTTTCTAAGTTTTTTTTTAGATAAAAATAAATAATATTTACTGCAATTTGATAAAAAATAAAACATTTTATCACTAAAAAATTTTTTTTCATTGTTATAATACAACGGGGGTGTTACAAAGGGAAGGGGGTATAAGGACTACGCCCTCGCGTCACTATAATATCACCTCTATATGTTATAAACTACAAAAATGTGTAAAAAAGGGCTGCACTAATTGATTTTAAATTTATAAAACGTAACACACTTACCACTTTGTATTATTCTCAGCTTAGCAGAGTGAAAACAAACAAGTGTAAAACATTATTTGATTTCCGTACTAGGTGGGATTTTTCTTACCTATACTAAGAGCATGAAACTTATTAGTTGTTAGTACCTATATTGGAACTGTTATAATTATGTTACATTTATGTGGTTTATACGTGATTTAATTTTTCGGTAAAGCAGCTGAAAGGAAAACGAAAACTTTAAAAACATATTTCCTATGTTAAACGCATTGGATAAAGTATAATAATATTTAATATTATACATTCATACATAATATAGTTTTTGTATGGATAAAATATATTCTTTGCTGAATCAAATTTGAATGATAAAGGAAATACGTGTAGGTATATAAGTATAATTCACATATGTTGCTTTTACGATACACTTTATATGGGTAAAGGAACCAACTTAAACTACAAATTTTATATTTTATAAACCATTTTATTTTGATTTATTTTTATAATAACAGTCATAACTCATAACATTTAAATAGGTAATAGTACAAATACAGATTTTATAATTTTTTTCTTTCTATATCTCAGTGTTTATAGTGATATTTGGATAGCTGGCAAAAGGCAAAACTTCAATTTTTCTTGTTACCTAAAATCAAATAATAATGTAACCAAGCATAATTTATTTTTTGCCCCCCTCCCACAGGGTTCCACATAGTTCAAACTCGTATCAATATTTTTAGCCGGATAAAGGGATAGTTAATAGCTATAAGAGAATCACGAAATATACATCATGGTCGCAGCATTTAAAGAGAGAAGTTTGTTACTAGTGGCGCTTTCTAACAGATTAATATTCAAATTACATAAACTATATAAATCTATAATATTATAAGCTAGCTAAATAAAATTGTGATTAATTAACTCCTTTTGGGTTTATGTAATTTCAAGTGAATCGGACTGATAATTATCAGAATTACGAATGCGAAAAAAAGTGACATTAATTTTTATTTAGATAGATAACAATACGCAGGATGTCAAGTGAAATGTCCTGGAGTACTATGAAAATTGAACTTCTCTATATCTCTATTAGATTATATTTTGTCGAAAGGAAATAATAATTTTAATACTCTTGACTGTGATACTGTCAGAAACGTCTTACCAAATAGTAATTTTAAGCATATATTACGAACGCTGTTCCGGTGCGTTCCAGTCCATTACGGTTCATATACATGAAAGATTGCACAAAGATAGGTATTATAGCGAGAGTAAAGATAAAAATACACTTCTGAGCACAAGTTGTCCGCTGACTACTGTTTTTATTTTGAATAGAGTATAGATAACACTACTTTGGTAGGCGGACTTTTTTTGGTATGGTAATTGTCCCTTAATTATTTCACTGTTGAGTTTTTGTTGGATTAACTTTACCTTAAATGTAGGATACAAATTTGTTTTCTTTGTTCTCAAATTTTTCCCCTTTGAATAACCGTCCCAATGATTTCCAGCTACTTCGATCTCGTCACCTACTTCTAGATCCATCTCTTCCGGTCCTTCTGATTTATGAGATATTAAAGCTACATTCAGTCTGTGAACTTGACCACTAAAGTAAAATGTGTCGTCTAAAGAAGTGAACTTAGCTGATGCATCCGGTTGGAGACTGTTCATAATTTCATATGCTAACCGACATACCTGCAACAAAAAAAACCATTTATTGAAACAAATTACGTAAATAATACGTTTATTCAAATAATATTTTATATTTTTATGTGAGTTTTAGTATGATAATGTATAATGATTTCGAGGAAACAAATTTGACTTACATTTGACGAAAAAGTACAAACTAAGTAGTCACAGTGAGCTAGAAAATATATTTCGATGTTGATATTCATAATCGAACCGTCTAATTCGCGCTTTAGAACCGTTCCAGTTTTGGATATCTCTGGATCGCCGATAATATCGTACTCAGGATATCTAACAAAACACGATGTATTATTTACACTATCTACAAATAAATGTAATTATAATAACATGTTTGAAAATTTCAAACGCACTTGAGTCTAGCTTCATCAAACAATGTTGGATCGTCCGTGGCCAAATAAATCCGTTTCGTGTCGTATACGCCGTCCAATTCTTTGAGTTTGTAATATTCTTCAACGTGGTACATATACTCTTCGAGTTTGTGCAACGAAGCTTCATTGATGAGTTTGTCCGTTCGTCTGATATGCAATCTGCACACCATCACTCAATTTTATGTATATTCGTATAACACCAGTTACGTATAGCTATATCACGGTGTGGTGTACCCAGACATGGTTTGAAAGTACAGTACCTAATCGTCGTTTATAGAATGTCTATATATACATATTTTTGAATTTATCCGATTTCATTGCATATATTTTGACTATCAATAATTATTAGTATTTCATTGACTCATCACAAAAAAAGTATTTAAGTACACAATTTAAAGTCATACGGAATAAATTTTTAAACAAAAAAAATCATAGGGAATTGAAATCGTAGATAATACGAATTAAGATGAGGTATATTAGTGACGCACTTCAAAAACAGCTGTATACTCATACCACCTCTGGGCTCTGGTTAACTACGATCTAATTTATTTATAATATGTAATCTTGACTTAAACGCAACTGGTCTTTTCAAAATTAATAATGATTGCAAATACAGTAAATATTGGTTTAATTTAATATTTCTATACTCCGTAGGCGACACGACGTAATATAAAAATGTTTACCCGACAATTGGATTTTGAAAATTCACACGCTTGGCAAACTCGTTAAACGCAATGGTAGTGGATGGTTGCGGCCGGAAGATGTATTTGAGGAACTGGCCTAACCACCATACAGCGGGGTCACCGTGCAAGACGTTTATTCGTCCAGCTAAGTCCTCGGGCAACACGACCGGAATGTAAGGAGGATTGAGATGTTTGGCAACATTATCGGGTGTAGGCAGAATATACTTTATGACTTGAGTAGTTTCGTTGCCTATAATATCATGTAAATAATCAAAATCTTCAATGAAATAGTTCAATAAGTTTGCATGGTTGTGGTGTACCTGTACAAATATAAAATAATAGACTTAGGTACGAATCCGGCCGTTCTTAAAAGACTGGACACTGGACCATAGATAACCACTCGAACAAATACATACTTCCCAATGTTTTAATTAATTAAATCATTACATAGTACGTACTACGTGTCAGTTGTGCTCAAACGAGATATTTTGTGAGATGAGGTTTAATCAAATAATGTATTTCTAATGTATATATCTTACTGTTTTAGTATCATGCATTTAAATTATAATATTGATGATATACATTAGTCTATTACTCTTTACTTATACTTATAGGTGTGTAAAATAAAAAAATATTTTAATTTAAATTTTCTTTCATCACATAGTACTCTGCAATAAGTACTTGGGAGGAGGGTTCAACATTGTAAATAAATAAATAAATAAATAACATAAATACATAAATATAAACACCCATATAAAGAAATAGGATATTTTTGAGAACTTTTGAAGTTGTAAATGTACGTGGAAAATATATATGTGTGTTTGATTGATAATTATCAGCGTTTCATCTATACCTGGCCAAAGTGAAAATGTTTCACCATCATTCGACGTACACGTGTTGCTAAGGGGTAAAAATAATTTTTCCCAACCACCTCTAGTAAACTTCCAATGTTCAGGATTATCTATAATCATTGTCCTCTCGGTGGCGTAGGCGACAAATAAGCACTTGACGAAATGGTGTACTCGACATCCATATCCACACCAATTTGCCTGAAATTATATAATTGCTACCATAATATAACATTATTGTACTACATTACAAAATTGTTTTACTGCCTCTCATTTAAAATATATTTATAAATTATTATCAATAAAATATGTATTTTACATGTGAATATTTACAACCTATATTCACTAAAAAATAGTGAGTTATAAAAGTACAAAAAAAAGATACATGGAAAGAATTGGTTCAATTAAACTAATTTGGATTGGGCTAACTTACGCTGAAGAAATTGCACAAGAGTTTTCTAGCTTTGGAACAGTCGGGTGGATTCTGCGTATGTCGAAGTCTCTTTTCGACCAGTCTACTCAAAGAGTGAAACTCTTTCCACCTCCACTGTGAAAAACCGTCAACATCGGCCAACTTGGCGACATCTCTCAATAACGATCTATAGTGTTCGTCGACCATTGTTTTAATATCAGAAACTTTCGGTTTCAAATCTTCGAATTCGTTGGCCAACGATCGTAATGTAGAACTGACGTAATACCAAACTTCTTTCGTGTTTGAATAAACACGGCGACGCAACACTTCGTATTCTTCAGACGGTCCGTTTACCATTTTCCTTTTGTTGTTAATCTGTAAGATGAGCAATATATTATATTGAGAAACATCTGACAAATATTATCATTTTATATTTTTAATTAATTTTTTAAATTTTATTTTCTCCACGATTTTTAATTTTCAATTTGACTATAATATATTAAGTTTACAAATTAATAGAAGGCGTTGGCCGTTTATTATACCTACTATTATCTATAAGTTACTGTTGAACATATAGTATAGATACTTGTGTAGATAGCACTTGGCCCCAATTTTTGTTCAGTATATATAATATTAAAGATTGTGAATATACGAGGATAAAATAAAATAATATTTACCCAGAAAGTATGTTTTGGGTATAATACATACAACATACTTTTTGTCAGGCCTGAACCGAAAGTTTGGTTTCGATAGCGGTTGAAGCGTTGGAAAGTATCCTTTTTCCGCCAAGTGGGTGGTAAAGTGGGAATCCCAAAAAGTGTCGGGTGGTAAAGTGGAAATCCCCAAAAGTGACAGGGGGTAAAGTGGAAATCCCAAAAAATGTCTGGCAGTATAATGGAAATCCCATAAACCAGACACAGAAATCTATACCACTGTCCTTACAAAACATAAACTTTTAGTTATATCTTATATTCATATTATAACCTCGATGCATGATGCTTAAAATAAATAAAACTCAATCGTTTGTTTCATGAAATATATTTCGTAGAATCGTCTGGTTGTTGCATAGACCTCTGCATCACCTTTGTCGTGATCGAATATCGATGAACCCAAAGACTTGACAAAAATGTGTAAGTGTGGCTAGTGCGGAAGGTCTATGAAATGCGACCTATACACGTCGTCCCCGACTGAAATTGCTCACTTCCCGCCATTGCCACACAATATACTATTTTAAAACATCAAAAAATGCGAAGTCTGTACATAATGATATTTTGTGCGTTATTGGTATGATTAAAATATAAGATGAGAGATACTGTAATATGTGCTCATGTACTTTTTTTTCGTCGAATCTCAGTCTAAAAACATAAAATATAAACGTAAACGATTATTTTATTATAATATACCATTATAATATCACACTTAATAATGAAGCATATCGTCGTTGGGCGAGTAACATGTCGTATCTCAAGAAAAATCGATTTTGCGATTTATACATAAAAAAAAGCGGGAAAAAATAACATATGATTTGATAATTATATTAATATTAATAATAATAATTTCCAAGGAGATTGAAGACTTAATTGTAATTTTGATGTAACTTGATTACATGTTATCAGTGTTCACGTTTTTGTCTCTCCTGAACATTTTACTTTTTTGAGATACGACATGTTACTCGCCCAACGACGATATTATTATAATATTTTATTAAACTCGCGAGATGAGAGTGAAAGAAATTACAACGTTAACTGTGGATTGCACTGTGTACTCGTATAACGTGACACGGCGAAAAATATTTGTTGTAGACGGTCTAAAATTAGTCGGTGATTTCACGAGTATATACTATAATTTAATGGTTCTGCATGGGACATAGGTACAAATTAAGCAACTAATATGTTCTAAACTCTGCATATTTTGCGGTATAATATTATATTATAGTATACTGATTACTAGCGCTATGTCAAAAAAATAATTAAAGACAACTTCATCATGACGTACTTGTGAACTAGATCGTTCCTCATTTCTATCAGTTCGACGTTGGTTCTGTGCACCTCGTCGAGATATTGAAGTGCAATGGCAAGCGTTTGTTCTAGATCATCGTCGAAGGGTTTTTCGTGTTCGAAATAAAAAGTAGCACAAAATATAACGACCCATACGAGCACTAAGAACATAAATATTCTCTTCCAGAAACGATGGTAACATTGGGTTATCTTCATAATATTCATGGTTGATTTCATGACCGTGCCTGAATTCTGTCAATGTTGTAGACGGTAAAAATGAAAATAATTTTATTATTCGATCATAGTTACAGTTATTATGGAACTCGTACAGTATTGTACACATCATGTATTATAAGTTATAGCTTAAACACGAAATAATTTTTAGATTGTGATCAAATCGATGAATGTATTGATTTTACAGTGATATGTGTTTTTTTTGTCATCTCCTTTCGGGTCAAACATAAAATTTAGAAAAAAATGTCTATAGATGATGTACATAGATAATGTCTATGAAAATATCCATAAATTATTACAGAGATAGATTAGACCTCTGTTCAGAAGATAGACTAATTTAAAAAGGGAGAGGACCAACCCCGGGAGGTGTTCAAACAGGGATTTTGAGATTTCCGATGGAAATTTTTGTTTATAAAATATGGTTGCCATGTGTTTTGAAGTTAATATAATAATAATTGGTTTAAAATTGTTGTTATGGTAACCGTTATATTATAAAATAAAACATATTATTCATATAGGGTTGGTATTTTTAATGGGCAACGAAGTTCACGGGATTAGCTATAATATATAAAAATGAATGTATATCTATCTGTCTGTGTGTCCATATTACCATGGCATCCATTTATATATTGTTTTGAGATTTCTGATGGAATTTTTTGTTTATAAATGGTTTCCATGGGTTTTGAAGCTATTATAATAATAATTATTGGTTGCCGGGCAACAAAGTGCACGGGATCATTTGGTACAGAGATAGATTAGACTTCTGGGCGTAGACTAATTTAAAAAGGGAGAGGACCAGCCCCGGGAAGTGCTCAAACAGGGATTTTGAGTCATACGAAGTTGTCATTTTTAATGGACAACGAAGTGCACGGGATCAGCTAATAGTAAAATAAATTTCTTTAGTAGTAATAATATAATACATTTATACATATATTATATACTTAGTTATATTATAGGCTGACAGTTCGTCTTCTTTTAGAATCATTTTCGTATACAATGATTTCATATCATTGAATTCAAATTTGACACATACATTACAGTGACTAATCTAGACAAATAATGTACAGCAAAGTGTTAGTTACTTGCCAACTTTTTTCTTCCTAATTTCTTGTAAAATATCTTTAGTTATCAATATAATTCCATTTTCAGATATTTTAAGGATGAATTATTATCAAATTTGATACTGAAATGAAAAATATATAACTAAACGTTACTGCTTTGACAGGAGTATTGAAACTCCGTTGAATTATGTTCTAAAAATCGTAAATCACTTAAAACACAACATAATATTTTAAAAAAGCAGGTAAGTTGATGTCGCTCTGCTGTACAGTAGGTTACAAGTGGATCAATGTATAATGGATTGTATTAAACTTGAATTCAATGATATAATATCATTGTATAAGAAAAACGATTCTGAGCGGAGGCGGTTTGTCAGTCTGGATTTTTTATGCTGTTATTAGTAATTATTATACCCTTTATATTTTAGCCCTATTATTTAAACGGAGGAAAAAAGTTACCCAACTTATATCTTAAGTTTTTAATGGGCTTTTTTTTTCTCATAGATAGTATAATTATTACACTATAATTCGTATTATTTTAAATTTTTATCATCCGGATCGAAACTCGATGTATGAAGATCCCGCAAAGAGTCGTCACACTGACACACTGCAGCATGAATATGCAAACAATGTATCGAAAATAGAGAGAGAAATATAACCCAATATAGAACCACTTACCAACTGATTTATTTAAATCAAAATTGTATATGTAGTGTAGGTACGGTGTCTGATTTCACGTAGAATTTCAATGATTTTATATTTAAAATACCAATGTATTATTACTTGCGATGCCTAAAGGCGTGTACAATGTACAACTAATCCAGTAAAAACGTTATTCGGATGATCGCAAAACGGTCTTTGGAAATATAATGTAATATTATTATACTTTTATTCGTTTAATGACTAATGTTACAAATGTAAAATACGATCACTCGTTCACAATAACATATTATTACATAACCGATTTCGAGTGGCGTGAAATGTGTAAAAATTATCCTGTACGAGAAAATACCTACCTGTAAATATTATATTTTAGTATTTGCACAACTTTATAGCTTATAATTTATAATGTTCAACGTGTTTAGATATAGTTAGTAAATCAGTAAAATTTATAGAGTGGTTCTGTTTTTGATAACGAGTCAACACCAATGTTTATTGTAGGTACAAGGTACCTATAATACTTCCTGGTACTACCAAACAGTACAATTTTATTTTATATATTCTACATAATCACACTGTAACACAGTATTTATCGAGAAGAGAATTAAAACAATCGAACCAGAACGAATATTTAGCGACCCGCCTCGCCTGCGTGAATTATAAAGCATTGAAATTTTTTATATACTCATATTATCATTTAGCTATTGCTTATTTTACGTGATTATTGTTTATAATAAAAATTATTAGATTTGCCATACCATTTTGTGTAGTTCAAATTCAGAACTTTGTTTTTAGGAACAACTATATAGCTATACTTTATAGCTACCTATAAATTGCGACGTTTCGCTCTTGGATCGATTGTGTGCTCACCGGTTGACTGTCCAATAGGCAAGATTCAGGGGCACCGATGTCAATTTCATCTGATATTGCATAAAAATAATTCTGGGATTGGAAGGGACTACCACCATTCTTTCCCAAATAGAACTGTGGGGGTAATGCTCCCACACCCTTTTCATAGCTGTAATGATACAATTTACAAAATAATGACTTACAATAATTGTCTTTAGAATCTAGATGTTTCAAACCACACTCTACATACCGACCTAAGAGTTAACACAGTAGATGAAACTGCAAAGCTACTATATAAACGATTTCGTTTACGACTAACCAACCACCCTAATCCCTTAATATCAGCACTAAACTCTGACACCATTCCTGGTAATCCTCCGCGTAGATTAAAGAGAAGATGGTGTCGTGATCTAAACCAAAATTAATTAATAAATATAAATTAAACTAACATCTGTTATAAAGTGTTGCTATTGGGTGGCTTCTTTTTTCAAGCGTCGCATGTCAAATAAATCAATGTACATCCGCATACATGCTTATTGTAAATTTAAATTACAGATTGTATGTTTTTAAAATAAAGTTAAAAAAAAAAAGAAAAGATGTTTCTTATATATTATTTTAAAACACAAACAACTGAAAATAGTAATTAGTGCTAATAATGATTTTCCATCACTTATTAATTTACATAGATACATTGCAAGCAATTGTAGGCTAAAAACTATGTATTTGAAGCTTTAAATTAAATTTAAAAAAAAAATGAAAAGTTTTTAATATTTTCGATTAATTATACCTATTTTTTAAGATTTGAATTTTTAAAACTTAAAGTCATACATTTTTATTGTTTACACCAATTAATATTAATATTAATATTCCAATTTAAGAAGGTCAATTTCGTAAATTGAAAGAAGGTATCTCTGTTACTGCATTTATGATGGAAATTAGTAACTCAGACGATCTGAGGAGTCATCCCCCATCACTTTAATAATTTACAGTAATTGTTAATTTAAAAATTTAAATCTCACGCAGTACAGTTGGTATTTCTGACACCTCAATTTGGGTTGGCAATATATTATACATATTGCAATATGCATATTGCATATTGTATATGTGTGCATAATATAATAACATAATAATATGTATATAATATAATTGAAAATATAAAATCTTTTTTTCTCAGCTTAGAATAATACATAGTGGAAAGAGTGTTACGTTTTTGAAGTGACTACTTCTTTAAACGGGCTATGGGTGTACGTTTTGCACGTGGAAAAAACCAAGGCTGGGCAAGTTAACTATTTTTTTTAACTCGTTAAGTTAAGTTAATATAGAAAAATGTAAGTTAAGCTTAAAGTTAAAAGTTAACTTCATTTTTTTTTTAACTTGTAAAAGTTACAAGTTAATTAGAAAATAAAAGTAACTTAACTTAGTTAAAAATAAGTTACTTTTTTTTTTAAATAAAATTAACAATTATACTTACCTACCTACCTTTTTTAAAGCTAACAAATAACATAATAATTCAGTAAATCAAAAAATGTCTTACAATATTTGAATAAATGTTTGTAATAAAATTAGTTACTGTAGGTACTTATATTAATTTTGTGTATTATACTTTAATTAGGTAAATAGTAAATACCACACTACTACGGGTATTATTTACATCGACGGGCCAAGTTATCATCGTAATTCTATGAATGAATAAAAATATAATAATAAGTAATGATATTAATAATGATTAGGTATAGGTTAGGTACTGAGTAAATTGTTATATTTTTCTTTGATGCGGTTACCCCTATGATATTTCCCTCTATAATATAGTTATAAAATATTTTCTGTGAATATGCAATATAAAAACTTACTATTATTATAAATTATTATTTAATAAAATATATTTAATATTTCGGGTTTTTTTTTTTATGTAATTAATTTTACAAAATTGAATTAATTTTAAATAATATGTGGTTTAGGAAAAAATTAACTTAACGTGCCAATACAATTAATTAACTCGTTAAGTTACTGAATAACTTGGGGAAAAATGTAAATCGTTAAGTTAGAAGTTACTTTTAAAAAAAAAGTAACTCGTTATTTAACTTAGTTAAAAGTAACTTAACTTTTTAACTTAACTTTAACTTATTAACTCGTTAATGCCCAGCCTTGGTCAAAAAACTTTCGTTTCGAGTCACGGAACTCTATAGTCCACACTACAGCTCCGGCATGTATTTATGATGACCCCTGATAAGAAATGACCGCTAGAGTCGCGTCGGTCACCTGCCAGTTTTCGTTGCACGGACTATAGCGTTCCGTGACGCGAAACGAAACTTTTTTAGCCGTGCAAAACGTATGCTCATAGCCCGCTAAACGAAGTAGTCATTTCAAAAACGTAACACACATACCACTACCTACGTATTATTCTCAGCTGTGCGGAGTGAAAACAAACAAGTGAAA